GCGCCGGCCACCTGGCTAATTTTTTTAATTTTTAGTAGAGATGGGGTTTCACCGATGTTAGCCAGATGGTCCTTGATCTCCTGACACTCGTGATCCGCCCGCCTTGCGCCTCCCGAAATGTACTGGGATTTACAGTGTGAGCACACGTCCAGCCTATTATTACTTTTTAAAATTACAAAAAGAGAGAGATAGTATATGCATCGCATTGGACAGAGCACGTTTGGGGAGGGGATCAGGTGGGTCCTGGGTATGGAAACGCTGAGACACGTAGCCTTCCCACCCAAGGCCAAAAAACAGGAAAAAAAAAAAATGCACTATTCACAGTGACAGATATGGTTGAATTCAGCCTAATTAGAAGTCAATCATGGCCGGGTGCAGTGGCTCACACCTGTAATCCCAGCACTTTGGGAGGCCAAGGCAGTGATTACTTCAGGCTAGGAATTCGAGACCAGCCCTGCCAACATGGTAAAACCTCATCTCTACTAAAAATACAAAAATTAGCTGGATGTGGTGACACATGCCTGTAATCCCTGCTACTCAGGAGGCTGAGGCACAAGAATTGCTTGAGCCCGGGAGGCAGAGGTTGCTGTAAACTGAGATTGCACCACTGCACTCCAGCCTGGGTGACAGAGGAAGGCCCTGTCTCAAAAAAAAAAAAAAAAAAGTCAATCATGAAGAGAGAGATACTTATGCCAGGGCATCTAGACACCAAGAAGTTCTTAGGACATTGACCACACTGACAGAGATAAATGTAATCCTGGAGTGAGAAGCAGGTGGGGACATGATGCGTTGTCATAGGCGTGTAAGATGGTCCAGGCCTAGCCGGGCGCGGTGGCTCAAGCCTGTAATCCCAGCACTTTGGGAGGCTGAGATGGGTGGATCACGAGGTCAGGAGATCGAGACCATCCTGGTTAACATGGTGAAACTCCATCTCTACTAAAAAAGACAAAAAACTAGCCAGGCGAGGTGGCGGGCGCCTGTAGTCCCAGCTACTCGGGAGGCTGAGGCAGGAGAATGGCATGAACCCGGGAGGCGGAGCTTGCAGTGAGCTGAGATCCAGCCACTGCATCCCAGCCTGGGCGACAGAGCGAGACTCTGTCTCAAAAAAAAATAAAATAAAAAAATACATATAAAATAAAAATAATAAAAATAAAAATAAAATTACGTTACGTTACATGCACAAGAGAATGAGGAGATGCAGGATGTTTGCAAAGTCTCAGCGTATTCCCCACAAGATCCTCATTCGTGACAAAAGGAAAATAGTGAAATGGAGAAACTGGCAGCCCCCACCTTAACCAAGGTCCCAGTTCACCTCACAGCAATAAGACAAATCAACACTGTAAGCCTCTGATATACAACATTGCTTCTGCAGTTTTCTTGCCAAAAATGCATAATCTGAATCTAATCATGAGAAAACATCACACCAGCAAACCCTAAACAGGGAAATTCTACAAAGTAACTGACCAGTGCTCTTCAAGTGTTAAAGTCATGAACAAATCAAGAAAGACAGAGGGCCGGGCGCGGTGGCTCACGCCTGGAATCCCAGCACTTCGGGAGGCCGAGGCAGGTGGATCACGGGTCAGGAGATCGAGACCATCCCGGCTGACATGGTGAAACCCCGTCTCTACTAAAAATACAAAAAAAAAAAATAGCTGGGCATGGTGGCGGGTACCTGTGGTCCCAGCTACGGGGGAGGCTAAGGCAGGAGAATGGTGTAAAGCTGGGAGGCAGAGGTTGCAGTGAGCCGAGATCGTGCCACTGCACTCCAACCTGGGTGACAGAGCAAGACTCTATCTCAAAAGAAAGAAAGACAGAGGAGGCCAGGCATAGTGGCTCATGCTTGCAATCTCCCATGTAGAATCTTTGGCAGTAGCCCAGGATTGCAGGTGTCATGGGAGACTGACAGCAACTCAGACTCACACATATGAGCAGTGCCCAGGCCCATCCCAGCTCCACCAAGGTCTGCCTCCCTCTCCCAAGCCCGAATGGCCTCCTAGTCCCCCGTGCCCGGTGCTCTGGCGCTCAGGCAGCTGCCCCTGGGGGTGTCCTGCCAGGCCGAGCAGGGTGGGATAAGTGCTGACCCTGGCCTGAGCTGGGAGAGGGGGA